ACCTAGAAAAGCCTATGGCCGGATTCCCCGCAGTAGTCTGTGGTCATGCCTTCGAGCATACGGGATAGATGGCCAGCTGCTAATAGCCATCCAGTCGCTGTGTTCTGATTGAATGTGCTGCGTCATGGTTAATGGCGTTAAGTCGAAACCATTCAACGTTCTCAATGGCTGCGTCCTGTCCACTGTCGTGTTTGTGTTGTACATGGATAGAATAGTCAGGAGCTGCCAAGGCGATGAGGGTATCGGTGAAGGAGATGTGAAGTCGAGAAGGTTGCTTTTTGCATACAACCTTGTTTTATTTGCATCTGAGACTGATATTCGGTGCTCAATAGAAAGGTTTTCAGCCGAGTGCGACATAACCGGCATGCGTGTAAACGCATCTAAAACGAAAAACCTAGTGCTTTCTCGTTCTACTGCCCATTGCTCTCTTCAGATTTGCGGAGAGCCAGTGGAGCAGATGTAGATGTTCAAGTGTCTTGGGTATTTACTAGTATTTGAAAATTGGCATAAGAGATCGTCCGGCGAATTGGAGTAGCCAGTGGCGTTCTGATGAACTCGCGCGACCCATTGTTACTAAAGCAGAGCTCAGTCTGACAACTCAGCTTTCGGTGTTCAACTCGTTCATTATCCCCGTGCTTACCTACGGTCAGGAATCGTGGACCATGACTGAAAAACTTCGAACACGGGTACAAGCTGCTGAAATTGGCTTTCTTAGACGAGTCGCTAGCCTTACACATCTCGACATGGTCCGGAATACTGACGTCCGAAAGATCCTTCTTGTACAGCCTTTGCTTCTCTAGATTTGAAAGTCGCCGTTGTGATGGTTTGGGAATTTGTTGGGAATGCCTCCAGAAAAGAAGGCTAAACAACTGTTTCTTGCCAAGCCGACCGGCAGAAGGCCCAGGGACGGCCGAGATAAGGCTGGTGGAAATGTATGGAACTTGTCTCTTGCAGACTCCTGTTATCTTCTGCTGAAGCTCAGACTCTGTGACACGATCGGGAACGTTGGAAGCTCTGTGTGACGCGTCTGCTTCCGCGACCTGAAAGGAGAAGCAGCAATGGAGATGAAGATGATTTTTTTGAACTTTAGTTAAGTCAATGCCTTTATCCCATTGAATTTTGCTATCGAGAGCGCGTATATTTTCATATTTTGTGAAACATTTCTGTCCTTCATTTATAATGAAGGAATATTCACCGTGGTTTTCAACGACGTTTTGTTAGGGATGTTGCAGAGTACATTATTATGACAGAAATGTCATCCCGTACAGTTTTGTCCTCGAGGGAATCGCTGCAGAATTGACCTGTATTTTCCTTCATGGTGTTTTCTGAACTTTCATTAGTTTCTCCATGTCGACGCTTGTAATCCCAAATCTCTTGAATGATTTCTTGATGGCGCCAAAAGTTATGTCAAAAGCCAACGCGTATAATCGAATTACATATGCAGATTTAAAAATCAGAAGAGCTGTATATCATGCTACGTAAAATTGTTGCAAAAACTGAATAGGCCAACAGCCAAGTCATCTAATCTCAATATGTCAACAAAACAACATATTGAAACATAACACAGACATGCCAAAGCCCCAAAATATCGGGGTTCTATGTCACTCGTTCGCCTGCGGATCGTGGAAATG